TACACACATATGTATATATACACACACATATACACATATATAGTATGTATATATGTGTGTATATGTGTGTGTGTATACATATACATATACATATATATGTATATATGTACAAAACCCTAAACTATATATAATCAGTGACATTGGGAGTTGATGTTTATTTCAGGATGGACAGTCTTCTCAACTTGGATACTAACAAATATCCTGTATCCTTAGAATGACCTAGTCCTAGACAGAAGCTACCAGTATATGAGAGGGCAATGCCTTCTGCAGAAATTAGAAGGGAAGAAAATAAAAAGGGCTGAACTTTTGACAAGCAAATTTATGAGGCTATAGGAGGTTATGCTTTGAAAAAACTATTAATTCTTAACATGAAAGCAAAATGGATTATAGTTGTAAACCATAATCAATACTTTAGAAATGAATCTCTCAAAATAAGAGATACATTTGAAGTTTCAGTAGGCAATAAGCCACAATAACAACAATAATTATAACCATAATAATCATATAATTGACATAATCATAATAATAACCATATTACAATAATCATCATAACAATAACAGCAACAATTATTATCAGCCTGGCTTGATCCATCACTTAGCGTCACTTTTAAAGGTATAAATTCATAGTTCTTTAGCACTTAGGAGCATGACACAGGTCACAGCAATCAAAATAAGGTGCTGACTAATGGGGGGGGGAAGGCCACACAGGCCATCCCAATAAACCCATATTTTTCCAGTGTGTCTAGTCATATAACTATTTTCTTCTATGTGCATCACTTTTGTGACTTTAATGTACAAGCCAGAATAAAGCAATTTTACTCATACCACTAAAGTGAATTATTGGAAGAAAGATATCTTTGGAAACAGTATAAATGACCCAGCAACTTCTTTTATATTAAAAGTTCTGAACAATTAACCCCTGGCCCTTTTCACTTCTTGTCTTCTCAAAGTTACAGCCTCCAAGGTGTGATATTGGGTTTACTTTCATCTGAAGATTTTGAAATTAGTCTAAGGTAGCACTAGGTAACACCCATTTCCAATTGCATGGACAGACTATTTCTTTCTGAAAATGGTGGTCTCTACTGAAACAACTTTTTTTTTAAAAAAAACTGTTAAAAGGGTTAATGAAAGTAGATTTCCAGGGGGTCACTGAGTAATTTTGTAAAGGGGCAGTAGGCCAACCTCTGTTTTAGGTTATCATTTTATCATGTTTATTGTTGTCTATGTTGATTCTCTCAGATCCAGAGATCTCGAAACTGCTAGAAATATACCCAGTAAGATTAATTAAATCCAAGACCCTATTATTCCAAAAGATTAAACAAATTCATTGTACTGCATAAACATGGCAAGTCAGGTAATTTAATCATCACTGGACATTTGTTTACCCATATGTAAGATATGCTGGAATCAAACATCTTTAAGGTCTGTAACCAAGTGATCATTACATTTTCAGTGAGCACTTACACCTCAAAAATTAGTAATCACTACAAATCAGGTCTGGGTTATATTTTTGTTGATTGTTACTAGTGTTACTAATGCAGATTAAACTTAAAAATGCATTGCATACATATTCGGGGGAAGAGAGCCAAGTTGTTAAACATTTTCTAACACACCCCCATATTGCTCTGTAAACATTGCTTGAGCTCAGTAGAAGTGCAACAATGTAAGACTCAGGGAATTAAGTCATCACTATACTGGAGACCTGGTAACTATAGGCTAACCAATAACAATAATAATTAATAATAACTAGCATTTACATATCACTTTAAGGTTTACAAAGGGTTTAAATCTACTATCTCATTGGAATTTCACAACACTCTTTCCATAACAATTCTTCAAGTTCTTTGATTCTCAGAAGAATAAATAAGGGCCAAATTTCAATTCCTATTCCTTTTTCATTTTAAGGGGATAAAGCTGGTGTGGGCCCAGCAATAGACTATTATCTGAGGATCATCCTTGCTAAATTTGGAGAGGCTCACCACCAGATGATGAATTTTTTTTCCGCCACAGCAGCTCATGATGACTACTAATATATAACCTACTGTAGTGGTGGAGGGAATATTCACACCAATGAAACCCCAGATCCTTCAAATAAGTAATGAGGTAAAACTGGAATCCACATTTCCTTATGCCCAGACTATTGATCATTCCACAACTTCATGCTGTTGATCCAAGTAAACCACAAATGTAAATTTCATGCCCCCATGCAAAATGATGGATAATATTAATTAATATGCTTTCCTTATAACAATAGTATAAGTATTATTTTCATTTTACATATAAGGGAGTGTGTGGTACTGGTAGTTTTCCTCTCTATCGATGGGGCACAGGAGGAGAGATGGGTGACTGAGCATCTGTACCCATCTGCTTCCCAGACTCATAGTCTTTCATAGTTATCAGCGTCCAATATCAGCCTGAGTCACAAGATGGCACTCCAAGTTCGAGCTACCAGCCTCAGTCCTCTTATGTATGTGTGATTGTAGAGTGCTTGCCTGGATCACTGTGCATGCTCTAGGAAGCACTGACAAACTCGCTGCCTGCCTGAGTTCCTTTGGGTTCAATCTAAAGTTTACAATGTAATATTCATTAGTGTACAATATTTCATAAATTTATCCAAGGTGACTGTACCTACATTTTCTATTAATATCCTTATCCCCCTCCTAACTTTATATGACCCAAAGGAAAACACACTGGCTTTGTGGATTAGAATACATTTACTGAAGAAAATCAGAATTGAAAGTATAATAGTATTAAAACTCATTGCCACTCTGTCACTCCAGTAAAAACCTGTAAAACTCTGACTTCACTCTTTCTTGTCTTCAACTGGGTATTCCCCAGGTTAACAGAGTGATGATTTAAGAGAGTACCTCCCTGCATTCCACTTTCAAAGTCAAAGTCAATGAGAGAACAGAGAGGAATAGCCACTTCTACTCCCCAAACTATTCAAGATCAGAAGCTACACTGGCCTTCTCCCAGAGTTGCAATGATCTAGATGTACCCCTAAGAAGCTCTGTTCTTCACCCTATTATAATGTTTCTGCCTTCTTTTGGCAGGGCTCTGGCAGTCCTGACTGTTAAGTACTGGGCACGTAGGGAGACAGAGCAGAAACTGGAAGGCAGGAAAGATTTCCTTCCCATTCAACAAGCAGAGTAATCCCCACCTCATCTATTGCAAACTCCTGTCAATGTTGCTTTTCTCTAGTGTGATTCTCTTGGTCTCCTATTGTACCTATAATAAAGCATTCTACTATCTTAATTTTAAATGCCCAATTCAACACAAGCCTTCTAGGAAATTTTTATATTAACAATTTTGGACAATTCACTCCCAGAACCCTATATTTCTTCTGCCTTTACAATGGGAAGACCCAAAGGAACACTAAGGAAAAAAACAAGTCTGTTTAAGTTGGTGTTATATTCAGATGAGAGTACTGAGTCTCTAAGGTTAAAATCGGTTTCATGTTCGCACAGTCAGTAACTGAAACAGAATTTGAATGCGGTTCTCCTGACTATAGGTCTAGTATGATTTCTAGTTAGATGTATTGCTTTCCTAGAAAAGGATCATAGGTATACAGCAGGAAAGGATTTTGGAGGGGATATGGCCCCAATTCTCTCATTTTACAGAAGGGCTAAGCAATTTGCCTAAGGTCATCCAGATATAAAGTAGCAGAGGCAACATCTGAACCTATGTTCTCTGACTCCCAATTCTTCAATCTTTTTCCATTGCATAATTCTACCGTCCCCTTTCAAACATTGTAGAGCAGAGATGTCACAAACATCTGTGGTCCAAGAGTGGCATGCAGCCCACAACATTCCCAAATGCAGCCCAAACCAGATTAAAATGTAATTCCTATCTGATTTTAATGTGTTGACACAGTATTTTTAAAAAAGAAACATATAAACATGTGTGGCTTTCTAAGTCAATACGCAGCTCACAGTTATCCTTATGTATGATTTAGTGGCTCCTTATTTCTATTTGAGTTTGATACCATCATAAAGGGTCTTTGAGAATAGATACAACTTTGCTTACAAGAAATATTTTTCAAATTTCTCTGTCTGACTATTATGATTAATATCTTATATTTCATCACACTTTATAGCTTTTGAAGCATTTTCACTAAATTGTGGCATTGGAATTTTAACATACTCACTCATTGAATAGTGATCTCATACCTGAATCAAATGAGATAATCTTTATAAAGCATTTATCACATGGGGTTATATAAATGCTTGCCTTCCTCATCCCTTTCCTCCCAAGAAAGTAACCTCCAGTAACACTTTGATAATCTAAGTATAGCAGCCTATTAATAGTTGAGCTTAAGTTTCAGCTTTAAGTTTATTATAAATCTCTATCTGCAAACATAGCTGTTACTGAAATGGTCTTTTCAAGAAGCCTAGAAGGATTAACAATAGACCATCTGTTGTGTCGATTGGGCAGTAGGTGATTGACAAATGTTATTGACTTAAGCTAAACTTGGCCATTTTGCACACATCACTAAAACAACATTGTGTCACATCCCAGACACTCCCCTCCCCGACCATGTCTAATTCTTTCTTCAAGAAGCTACCAGAGAAAATTATTAACTTTAAAATAGTAGACTGGTACAAATCTTGCAAAGATGACTTGTATCACTTGTAAGGTTTCTCATTATGGAGTTTAATCTGGCACGCGCTTTTGCTTTTAGAATGCAGTTGTCAGTTACAAAGACACAACAAATAATAGGTGTCAACTCTAAGCCTCTAAGCCGGAATAGCATACTTTGTGGATAAGGTACTGGTTCACAAAGTACAGATAATCTTTTCTGCCTTGCCTACTGTAAACTCTCTGTTGAGTTACTGTCAAGACTTACCAGCACTTTTCAAAGATGGAGAAACAGAGTTGATTCTTTACTGGGATCACTGAACCCAAACCACAGGATTCATTTTGTTTCTTTAATATAAAGACTATCCAAGTTTTCCCAAGACAATCAAGTGTGGCGCCAGAAATAATTCCCCACACCATCTATGTGGAGGCAAATTCTGCTCCAATTTAGGGTCGAGAGACAAAATGCAAATAATTACCAAACTAAGGAAAACATCGAGGATGAACATGAAGAGGACACAAAAGTGCCTCACTATGTCAAGGTAAGAACATTACTACAATCATTATTCCAGGTAGAAGGGTAGGTCTGGAGAAATTATGAACATACAAACAAACTCAAGAATCCACACTCTCCTTTTTTATTGAGCTGTGGTAGGAGTCCTAAAATGGGAATTTCTTCTATTCTGAGTAAAACATTATTCCTATGATGATTATGGAGCTTGTCTGCTTTGCTTTTTCCTCAATCTAAAGGGCTTTCATCAACAAAATCAGCACATATTCATTATTTCTGGTCTCTGGAAATAATTAAAAAGGGAAAAAATAATTAAGTATACTTAAAGATTAAGTACAAGATAAATAGATCTTATGGCTGCAGGCAATATCCTTAAATAGTTTCCCTAATGTCACCATACATAAAAGAAAGGATAATTTTTAGACTCTAGATATTTTCAAAGATTGCTAAATGGTGAAAATGATTTGTTTAGTATTGAATACTAGAGAACCAAGAATGGGATTTTCTTTTTCTTTTATCTTTTTTAGTTACAGTAACTCCTAAGAAGTGTGAGTTTTCTAACTATAGGCATAATTTTTGGCCCAGGGTGTTACAATATTACTGATGGAGGTGGGTGAATACTTTTATAGAAAATAAATTCACTTGTGTTTGTCTATAAATAATATTACCTAATAATAGAACCATTTAATAGAAAATTTGTTTTACTTTTGCTGGTGTATCTTCAGTCCATTAGCATAGCACTTTATATATAAATATTTAAAAAGTGATTAAGTTGAATTGAATTTCAGGATCTTGAGTTGATTAGCAATAAAATTTGTTAGAATTAAGAAGGAGAAGTTTTTGTTGTTTTTTTTAATGCAATGATCTCATACAGAATCTAACAGCATTTATACTTTTTGCTAGTGTTGCATAGGTCATATTGTAATAATGATCCTTACTCACAAACCTGCTATGTGGTTTTCTACTTTCTCACTCTGATATTATAAATTGAGTTGTGAAGAGTGAAAGAATCAATCAATAAGAAATTTTTAGATGCCTACTATTTGCCAGGCATTGTACTAGTTGCTGGAGATACCAAGACAAAATTGAAATGATCCTTAACCTCAAGGAGCTCATATTCTGTTAGGGGAAACAATATGGATAGACTCCACATAAGTATATATTCATGATTTTGATTTGTTTGGGGTCTGGGGGTTTTTTGGTCCAGATGTATGATTTCGTTGGTGTAGAAAACTCCCAGTGGAAAATCTCTTCTCCCAATATAGATCAACAACTCTTTTGCAACTTGAGGTGGTAGATTATTGCCCAGGACACTGACAGAGTAAGGTTTAGGGGTCATATAGCCAAAATTTGTACAGAGGCTGAATTTGAACCCAGTCTTCCTTGCTCTGAGGCTGGCTCTCTATGTACTAAGCAAGACTGCCTGTCATAAGAAATATATGCAAAATAAATACAATGTAATTTCCAGAGTGAAGGAAGGGCACTAGCAACTGGGGAGCTTTGTCTACAATGAGGCCTTTCCTGATGCCCTCACCTTTTAGTCTCAAAAAATTACTTGGTGTTTTAACATATATTTTGTATATACATTTTTACGTACCTAGTTATTAACATGTTGTCTCCCCTATTAGAATGTGAGCTCCTTGCTAACAAGAATGGTGATTCTGCTTTTATTTGTCTCTCCAACATTGGCATAGTGCCTGGAACACACTCAGTGCTTAACAATGCTCGTTTCCTGACTGATTTCTCCACCTATAGAATGTTAACTCTTTGAGGGGAGGGACTGTTTCATTTTTGGTTTTGCATCTCTAGTGCCTAGTAAAATGCCTGGCACACAGTAGGTACTTAATAAATGTTTATTGATCATTCAGTTGATTAATGTAGGAGATAGTGTTTGAATTGAACTTTGAAGGAAGTTCAGATTCTAAAAAGTGGAAGTGATCAAAGAATATATTCCAGGCCTGAGAGAAAGCCTGCACAGAGATTCAGAGATGAGAGATGGATTGTCATGAGTGAAGATTAGGAGGAAGACCAGTTTGACTGGACTACAAAGTGCATAAAGGGGCATAATGTATAATAAGCCTGAAAAGTTAGATTTGAACCAGGTTGTAAACAGTTTTGAACGCCAAGTGGAGGAATTTGTATTTATTCCTAGCCATTGTTGTTGTTGTTCAGTCATGGCTGACTTTTCACGACCCCATGGACAAGAGCAAGCCAGGCTCTTCTATCCTCCACTATCTCTCACAGACTGTCAAGCTCATGTTTGTTGCTTCCATGATACTATCTATCCATCTTGTCCTCTGCTGTCTCCTTCTCCTTTTGCCTTCAATCTTTGCCAATATCAGGGTCTTTTCCAGTGAGTTCTGTCTTCTTGTTATATGGCCAAGGTATTTAAGCTTCAGCTTCAGTATTTG